TTGAGTAGTGAAAACTATTCCTTAAAATCTGTTTAACTCCTTGGCGCCGGCCGCTGCTCTGGGAAATCAGATTTCTGGTGCCGAAAGATTCAAGTGCTGCTTCCCCCGGACTTGGGCACTGGTGAGGCCCCACCTTGAGTACTGTGCTCAGTTTTGGGCACCTCATTACAAGACAGACACTGAGGTGCTGGAGCGTGTCCAGAGAAGGGCGACAGAGCTGGTGAGGGATCTGGAGCAGACGTCTGATGAGGAGCGGCTGAGGGACCTGGGGGTGTTCAGCCTGGAGAAAAGGAGCTGAGGGGAGACCTACTCGCTCTCTACAGCTCCCTGAAAGGAGGAGGTAGCGAGGGGGGGTCGGGCTCTTCTCCCAAGGAACAAGAGGAAATGGCCTCAAGTTGCACCAGGGGAGGTTTAGGATGGATATTAGGAACAATTTCTTCACGGAAAGGCTTATCATCATTGGAACAGGCTGTCCAGGGCAGTGGTGGAGTTGCCATCCCTGGAGGGATTTAAAAGATGGGCAGACGCAGTGCTGAGGGACATGGGTTAGCGGTGGTGTTGGCAGTGTTAGGTTGATGGTTGGACTCGATGGTCTTCAAGGTCCCTTCCAACCTAGATGATTCTATAATTCTATGTTGAAATGGTTTAATGTATTTAAACTGTGATAAGTAATCTCCAAGAATGAAGTCAGCTAACCAAGAGTAACGCCTGCTTGTAAGAAGCTGTCATTGCAGACTGCCGAGGGGTTCATACTTGAGTTAAAAAAATTGCCCACCTCTTGCTTCAGTGACATAGTGTAGCACAGTAGAAGGGCTGGAAAAGCTGAGGCGTTTTGTTAGCTTGAACCCCCACGATCTTTATTCCATGCGCTGGGAGTTCCTCGCAGCGTGGTATGAAAAGTGATTCTTGTCACTGGGGTAGATCCATGTTTATATCATGTCTAGTAGCACTTGACTGTAATTCACAGTGACATTTATTAGCAATAATTTTGTGCATATTGATGGAAAATGTACTTAGCAATTATCTTTGAGCAGATTGTTCGCTGGATGTTCTTGATTAGGAAGGTAATTGTGTGTGGTCTGCTGGTGAGAGCAGGGGATAGAGGCAGGAAATGAGCTTCTCCTCCTCCTCGGCTCTCCTGGCTCAGCTGCGGCTCCAGTCCACTGCTGCTTTTGACTCAGGTTTCCACTCAGAGGTGGCTCTTGTGACCTTCTTCAAGGTGTTGAGGTTCATAACATGCTGCCTTTACATAGCCATCGTTTGTTTTGCTCCTCAAAAATACTCACATTGGATTTTTAAAATATATATTGAGTATGATAAGAAAGCAATTGCCTCCCTGTAGCTTTTATACTTAGTTATAGGAAAAGTGAAGCGTCCGTAACAGAATGTAATAAAATGCTGTTGTGTTGGGTCCTGTTAAAGTGAGCAGAAAAAGATGAAATGTTTTTTGTTTGTATTTTCATAATTAAGTCTAGCTTTCTTGAATATTTTTTTTATTCTTTGCAAATGAGAGCATGCCTTGCTATTGTGAAGTTTACACAGATTTACTGGTATTTTTACTAAAGTTTTGCATAGTTAACACCATCTTTGGTGGTCACGCTTTTAAAAAATTAAGTTGTTCTTAGCTGTCCTTGCTGTCTTTTCATTGCCCAGACCTTGATGATATTTTACTGTTTTTCAATATTGAGCATGATAAAACAAACCTTGTGCAATACATCATTATATTAATGATATAACGTAAATAAAATATGTATATGGATGGATAGAGGCCTCAATACTGTGTCTGAATTTTGAGGTATTGTTTGCATATTTTCATAATAAATAGCTAGTGAGCAGTTAGTGTAAAGAACAGTACAACCAACAACACAAAAAACCTCTCTCCTCTGATCTGTTTATGCCTTGTTCAGTCTAAAGGGTAACCATTCTTTTCAGGATCATCTTAAATCGCTGCGTGGTGGTGTTTGTTTCCGTATTTAAACTCTGAGCTTCACTTTTTTTTCCTTCTAGTGGGAGAATATATCCCAGTACCATGTTCTCTGAGTTTAAATGTAGCACCCGGGGACTCGGTGTGCATAACTGGTGCCAGCACGTCAGGCTGCTCACACTGCGGTCGGTCAGAGCATCAGCGGCCACTGCACCATATTCGCTATGTCAGGCAGAAATGTATAGTGTCTGATGGTAATGATGTATGGAAAATATTCTTGTCGCTGGCTACTCAGCAATGTGTCTTGTATTTTAATAGGTTATATATGGCATAGCCACTATTGTTTAGTTAGCGCTTTTTATAACTGGCTTCTCTGGAAGAGTTCTTCTCCTGGATTTTGCAGTTCATGCACTTTCACTCTTTTTGAATATCCAATTTATACTTTTTCCTGCTAGACTGCGTTTTAAGCGCAGAAGAAAGCTGTGCAGTTGTGCTTTGGACAGGCTGGACCTCATGAAGTTCAGCTGGGCCAAGTGCAAGGTCCTGCACGTGGTCTGGGGCAATCCTCTGCACAAATCCAGGCTGGGTGGAGAATGGATTGAGGACAGCCCTGAGGAGAAGGACTTGGGGGTGTTGGTTGATGAGAACCTCACCATGAGCAGGGAATGTGAGCTTGCAGCCCAGAATGCCAAGCATATCCTGGGCCACATGAAAAGCAGCATGGCCAGTAGGTCAAGGGAGGAGATTCTGCCCCTCTACTCCACTCTGGGGAGACCCTACCTGGAATATTGCGTCCAGCTCTGGAGCCCTCAACATCAGAAGGACATGGACCTGTTGGATCAGGTGCAGAGGGGGCCACAAAGATGCTGTGAGGGCTGGAGAACCTCTGCTGGGAGGACAGGCTGAGAGAGTTGGGATTGTTCAGCCTGGAGAAGGCTCCGGGGAGACCTTATAGCAGCTTTCCAGTACCTGAAGGGGACCTAAAAGCAAGCTGGAGAGGGACTTTTTACAGGGGCATGTAGCGATAGGAAAAGGGGGAATGGCTTCAAACTGGAAAAGGGGAGATTTAGATGAGATATGAGGAAGAAATTCTTTCCTGTGAGGGTGGTGAGCCCCTTGGCGGAGGTTGCCCCGAGAAGCTGTGGCTGCCCCATCCCTGGAGGTGTTGAAGGCCAGGTTGGACGGGGCTTAGAGCAACCTGGGCTGGTGGGAGGGGTCCCTGCCCAGGGCAGGGGGGCTGGAACTGGATGATCTTCGAGGTCCCTTCCAACCTAAACCATTCTATGATTCTATAATATGTGATTATTGAGGTTTTTCCTTTTGCGCAAAGTGCCAGGATGTTGTAGCCTAACATTATAAAGCTGTCGTGAACAAATTGCACAGGATCAAGTCCCTGCTACAGCACTGTTTATTGATTTCCTTCAAGAATAGTCAGACTATTAGTGGAAGTTTGTTCCTTTTGACAGTTTTCAGTTGGCAGTTGCCAATTTCATCCATAATTGGGAATTTGTGCACAACTTTGGAGGATACTGCACAGCTTTCATGGTTGGAAAATCCTTATAGAAACTTAAACCATATGCTTTAAGATTCAGCTAAAAATTCCTGATATTGATAAATCCTAAACTGGACTTGGCATACACTGATCTGAAGCTGGAGTTAGTCTTGCTAATGGATCATTCATCTTTTGGTGAGGCTTCCACTGTCCGTATCTCATAATTTCTGCACAGTCTTTAACTGTATTATGATTCAGAGGTGTGAGAGACGGGCGTATACTGCGTATTGTGTTCTAAATCAAAGCATCAGTTCATTTAACCTATTCCCTGACTGTATTTGGTCTGTTATCACAAATAAGAGGACAAAGAGGAGGGAATAAATAACAGTACATTTACTGCAGCTCTTAAATGATTTCATGAGTGTTCAGCTATCATGTAAAGGAAATAAGGGATGGCAATTAGATTATGTGCTCGTTATTAACAGTCTTAAGGGAAAGTTGGGAGCTTTTGAGAGTCCTCAGAGCTGAAGATCAAACCACAAAACACAAAGAAGCTTTAAGCCTGCTAGTTGTGTGATGAATTGAATGAATGAGGCTTTAGGTAGTCTTTTACAATTAAAGAATTATTTCATTACTGGTGTCCAGGTTCTATCCTATCTGTAGGAGCAACAGGGTAGAAAAAGAAGTCATATATAAGGTGATGCTGTGCCTGAATATTTCATTAACATTGGGCGCATCCAGCTCCTACAGCAGCTCAGATCAGGTCGTGGCAACATAGTAGTTAGGTTCTTGAGAAGAAAGACTGTCTTACTGTCTGTGTTAGATGCTGTATCATGGCTGAGGTTGGAGCTGGGCTGGTTTTACTAGAAGTGGAGTCTTCTGGATAAGCCAATAAATATTATTATTTTTTATGTAAAAATAAACCCCAGAACCTGAAAAAAAAAACAACAAAACCCCAAAAAACAGAACTCCTCCAAAAAAACCCATAATGTGAGTAATCCGCATGTTTGAGGACTTAAATGTGGCTGATGAATAATTGTGCTTCATCATATCTGGACATTTTAAAAACTGTGTTTGCAGTTCCTCGTGCAGTGGGACAGAATTTCGAAGATGCACATCTCTCTGCGATTCTGCTCTAATCTTATCTGCACAGATTCACCCTTTACTACTTTTTCCCCGAGGCTTTACACGTGTCTTTGATCCAAGTATGTGATCTATTAATGTGAATGAGTATTGTGTGTATTGTCTCTATCCTGCTATTGAAAAAGGCATTGTTTATGAAAACACATAGTGTTCCGTGTTTATAGCTCTCTCTCACGTTATAGATTTGGCATGCGTCCGCCTCATTGTCTTGGCAAGACAAGAATTAAACAAGAACGCCTGTGCCCCAATGGGGAAAAGGATACATTAATTATTCTAGTTGAATGACATTGATTACAGCAATTAAGCTTTTTTTTTTTTAAAGAAAAATAGCTTGAGAACAGAGCAGGAAAGACTAACATCTTCCATTCTACGTGATTGTGCTCACCTAATATTTTCTTGCGCGTGGGGGGGGAAAGCCTGCTTTCATATTCAAATAACGTTATTCCCTCTGCAAGAGTTGCGTGTATAGCACGGTGGAAGAAATTTGTATTCTTAAAATGCGCTCGCTTTACTTTTTTTTTTTTTTTTTTTTTTTCACCCTTGTTCTTCTCCCTTTCCTCGATCATCAGGAGAAAAATGAGGTACCTTTTGGGTAATCGCTCAATAAGCGTTTTCTAGATTCAAACAACTTTAGGAAACTATCACGTTTAAGTTACTTGAGAATATGTTATCTGGGCTTCGTTATTGGCAGTAGTTTCTGTCTAAGGTTAAATATTCCTAACAGTGCTTGGTTTTTACTAACAGGAGCTGCATTGTGTTACTCATGGGGGATTCTATATAAAGGAAACCACGTTTCCGTGATAAAAAACTGATTTCCTTTAGAATGCGCAGTTCACTAGGTGACAATTTTTAATGTGTTTTTAATAAACCGATTGTGGAAAGAAATAATTTAGCTTTATTGTGAATATTCCCTCTGGGGTGCTTCTTAAAATTGAGTTCTTGGTTTAAGAACAGACTTGAGTTAAATAGAGTAACGCTGCCATAACCTGGCTATAATGGTGTGTTTATTGCAGGACATATTTATTTGAAAATACAAAATAAATAAGCATTTGGGTAATGATTGTGCTACGATACTGTAGTGCCTATTGGGTAATGCAGAGAGGAAAAACTATGCCTGCTTTTAGGGCATTCAGCACTATAAAACCCTACACTGCTTTGGGCTGTAGGTTTCTCTCTAATTTTCATTCGAAAGCATAAAAAATCGTAATGAGCCGTGATTGCAGTGCTAATGTAAAATACTGCCAGGTTTACTGCTTGGTTGCATTTTAAAAAATAATTTTTAATCATTCTATGCATTTTGTCACATTGTTTATGAGTAGAAAATCATATCTGCTCACTTAAAATGCACCTTGGAAATTCATGAATCCTTACTCGTCATTGGAATGTGTAAAACCTCTTCCATAAATAAATGTGTATTCATGGAAAAATAGTGTGTAGATTTAATTGCTCGAGAGCGGCAGTGATGTGTACAGTAGGCTGCATTCATTTGACAGCTTCCAATTTAGGATGTTGTTCGGGGTAAGTTAGACAAATTAAACTGTTTTTTCTAGTTGTCTTAGCTTATTCTTTTCTTGGGATTAATAAAAGAGTGGGAAAATATGTGAAGCGCAGGGAATTTTGCGAGGAGACTTGACCTGTGGACCAGTGAGAAGTTGCTAGTGATAAGTTCAACTTCTAGGAATGTAATTACCATGTAATATGAACTTAGGGAGGTGGTAAAGTAAAGCTTGATGTGCTTCCTATTAGCATATTCCTACAATACCAACATCTTATTTAATGTATCTGATTGTTATTTGTTTAACATATAGAAAGCTTAGCATCGCCTTTTTCTCTGGCGATAATCCTGAGTGCCTTCTATTTCAGGGAAGAGTGCCATCTCCTTAAACAGGTAGAATTTTTCTTCTAGTGTTTGTTCCTTAATTAGATATTGATAGTCTGGATCTATGTGTTTAAATCTCTGCTTTCTTTTGGTATTTGAAAATCCAGAAAACCTTGTGTTTGCTTCATTCCAGAAAAGAACAGAGTGCGAAGACCTCATAGAAGAGTTGCTGTGTTGCCTCATCCAGCTCATTGTTGAAATTCCCCTCTTGTAAGTTGGCTCTTTTTCTTTTCTGTTTTCAGCCTCCTTGTATAAACCGAACATTGGAGAGAATATAAAGCTTTGAGTGATGGGGTTATAATGTTTAAATACTTGTATTTGAATGCTCCGTGTGATGGTGCAGTACTGATAGCGATTACCTGCTGCCGGTACCCAGCCCTGAATATGCTATTGGAAGAAGTATGTGATCAGCATCTCGCACTCAGTTCAAACCATCACGAGAGGTTATCCTGTTTTATTTTGTAGGAGCTTAGACATTTGTCTTCAGGTACCTCTTTCAGCAAACGGTTAGTTACTGCTAACTTTTGGCTGGAAATGGTTGTGGGGAAATGTACAGGGAAAGGTACACTGGAGGTGTCACTTCATCTGTGGGGGATGCAGCAAGGTGCAAACAAAAGTTCCTCTTCTGCAGTTGTGTGGGTTTTTGAACTGCGTGTGCATTAAACAAGTCATTATTTAATAGTAATTTCTGAAATACCAGTGAATTGAAGAAGAGAGAAGAGAAATGACTAAGTGGAACATTTCTGTAGATCTCCAGGTTTGCTTACGTGGCTTTTTTCATGCGTCTGCTGTATTGGAGAGATGTTGATGCCGCATCCCATTGGGATACGTATCACAAAACATAATTTGGTATTATATGAAGGAGAACATACTTTGTTCTTTGGAAATGAAAATTTTTTTCTACACCTGTCCTGATAATTTTTAACTCCTTTTTTTCCCCAAGATAAACTTTACCAAAGATAGCGTTAGCAGTATCTTTTGGTGTTAAATTGCCTTGTAGGCTGTGCCTAAAATGTAGTCCCCCAATTAAAGCGTCATAGCTTTTTAAATTATCTGTTATAGTGTAGTATAGAGCTCTGCTGATGATTTAGTTTTTGTGATTTGGATTGTTCTTTTGGTTGGAAAGCTGACAAAGATGCAATAGTTTTTGAAACATTGCTCTCATTAAATACAACTCTGTCAACGTTTCATGAGGGTTTGGGTAGGTACTGTGTAATGAATTAATGATATGATTTAGAGTGTCATTCTGCAAAGCTTCTCAGGACTTCCTGGAACAGATACACTTTTTGTTTAGAGCAGATTAGAGGAAGTACAAAGGGGTGAAAGGACTGCGATACATGGGCAAGTTCATAAATCCTGCAGGGTTTTATTTTTCTTTCTTGGAAGTCCCGATGTGTGTGTGGAGTCCAATATCATTTATTCTGTCTCTCTAGCAGAAAGTGTTTTGCAGGCATCATTGTTCTTAACCCTTTTCAACCTGTCGGTGTCTCTATTTCTGTGTGAATGTGGTTGCTGGGAACAGAAGATGCTGTTGAAAGCACTTAGTTTACTATCTAATATAATCATAATAATGGCTTATTAAAAAAGAAGTCATCATAAAGCCTATAATCTTTGATATTCACCTATGTTGAAGACATGCTCGCTTTTCATGAGAGATAGACGTGGAAGGTTTTTTGTGGTTGTTTTTTTTTGTCAAATAAGTTTTTCTTCGCTAAATTTTCCCTGCAATAACATGCTACTGAATTGTTAGTAAGATACTAACACTTGCAAAAGTTATCTTGTTTACTATTGTAATACTTTTAACAATGTGTTAATGCCTTAACTAACGATTTTATCCCCGTATCACTAAAGGGGAAGTAGTGTAGGGGAAAGGAGATACGGAAAAACTTGCTTTCTCCAATACACAATCCAACTCTGTTCTTCATAAAGATGTTATAAGGCTGAGACATTTTTGCTTAATGTAATATTAATTTTTTTCAGGGGAATGATCAGGATTATTTTAGTATTTTTGACTTCCCTTCTTCTCCCTGATCAGATTTACACTATAAATTCCCTATTTTGTATCAAGGGGGTAGTTCATTTCTGTCTTCAGCTGGAAGAAATCAGGAAAATTACAAGCCTGGTATGTAAATTTTGGGAAGGAATAGATAGAATGGAATACATGGAATATTCAAACTTGTAATAATTTCTGTAGCAGGACTTAGGATCGCTTGCAAGAGGATAGGCAGCTCTGGCAGCTTACAGTGGCACTGCTAACAGAGTCTGTCTGTAAAGCTGCTATAAAGAGGAATTTTTGTTGTGACAGCCCGCTAAAATCTCCATGCTGAGTCTAGCTTTGAAACGTCATGGAGAATAGCAAGGTTTTTGCTAGGAGCATTCAATACCCTTAACAGAGGAGTGTCACAGTTAGTGTGTTCCTTGGGTTCTGTAGATGCAATTTTGTGACGGAGTGGATACAGCTGGCAGCTCCCGTCTAAATATAGTGCTTCTCTACGCTCCAGTTTAAGCTTCTTTTTTTCTCCTTCGCTGGAATACTAAGAATATTTTTAAAGCACAGAAGACCATCTCTGTGTCCAAAATGCAGGAGCAGAGGTACCTGTGCAACAGTCCCGTGTTCTTTGCTTTTAAATTGTTCTAAACATCACTTCAGATACTTTTTTGGTGAAAGCAGTATGCTTCAGAGGTACTGTAATTCTTTTCCCCTCCCTCTCTATATAATTTCAGATGTGCTGCCTTAATTTTTTCTTTTGCAAATGAGTTACTGAAGAGCAGACAGCATTGCTGGGTGATGCTGTGTAAATACTGTTATGGAGTAGCGAGAAATTTCTGATTATAACATAGATCCTATTATTCTTCACTGTTGAGTGTCACGTTGCGAAGATGTATACGTAAGACGACAGGTATTGTTGGCAGGAGAGCTTAGGATACCTGTGCGTGGCATTTTGGAGGCAGGTACGTAATCTTAACCCGTTTCCAGACTGACCAAATGCAAAGGTAAGAGTTTGAGCTTGGCAGGGGCCGTGAACTCATGAAGGCTGGAGTCTTTCCTGAGCAGGGGCAGAGCTTGCTCACCTCTGAGCTTGCTCTACTAAAAACCTTGACAGAATGAGCTCATGTCTGCCTGCAAAATAACCTGTGGGCATACTTGGAAAATGCAGGTGGGCAGTTTAGCTCAAAATTAATAAGGAAGGTGTGTGAGATGGGGAAGAAGACAAATTGCAAATCTGTAACCCACCTCTCCATGGCCCTTACTATGAAATATAACTGAAGAACCAGAATGGGTTGATTTATTTGGTTGCTGTTGGGAAAGGCTGCAGAGAGGTACAGCAAAGCATGTCTAGGAGTGTCTCAGAATGGTCTGTGAGGAATTGAAGAAGCTATTTCTCAAAGTTAGTTTGTATTGGGAAAGGTAAATGTGCTGTAAGGTTACACACAGTATGGTTAAAATGGGTTGTAGTAGGGACCGTGGGACTCCGCAGCATTGTGGCCCTCTATCTGAGAGTTATTGAAAAGATCGTGAAGTACCCTTTTGAAAACAGGCTCTGTTGCATTGTGCAAAATGCCGAGGACAAAGGTTTCACGTTTAATTTCAAGACATTTTATAGAAACGATGGCATTATTGCTTTTGGAGAATTAGGCTTGCGCAGCCCCTTAAAACACTGGTGTTAGGGTATGTTGATGTTTGATTTATGGCTCCCTTGGGTGTGGTATGGATACTCTGCTTTTCCTTGGGTTTTGTTAATGTTAGCACTCAGGAGTGTATGTTAATGATTAAAACTGCCGACTCAGCAAAAAGGTGCCACTTCAGTATTTAATTGTATGACTTTTATGTAGAAACTATTGCTTACATTTTGTTGCAAGATAGAGCTCCCAGGGCTTTAAATTATGAAGGCTTCTTTCAGCAGCTTGTTAAGAGCTGGTATACATAGCTGAACATCTGGTTGTTATCAGTACATTTTCACTTCATTAAAAACTATAAATGCATATGGAGGAAAAATGAAATACTGTGATCTAGTTCCATCGCTGCTAAAGTAGCACCCTGCGGTGCCAGTAGAAGTTAGCTGATATTTCTATTCCGTTGCATTATTTTCTGTAGTTGCTAAGATTGCAACCTAAAACAGTTGTTACTTGCAAATTTAAATGTTAACAATGTTTTGACTCGTTTAAGGATGCTCGCTACATTTCCTGGGAGCTTAAATGTCAAATGTAGGTGGAAGAAGGGCGATATAATTGACTATAAAGCTCTACGGAATCACTGCAGTGTAGAGATGATGAAAAATGTTTCCACTTTTTTTTTTCTTTTTAATTGTGGGCGGCGAAGAGGTTAAGAACTGTTTTCTCTCCTATTTCAGGAGTGTCATAATTTAATATATTTATTTTTTTCTTTGTTACTTTCAAAACAATAGGTCAGAATAGTGCTTTTTTTAAAAGGACTATACAGGGAACTTTTATCAAGATTGTAGTAGCTCCATTGAAGAGCTATTTGGCTTTAGCATTTTTGGCAACTTTGCCTGATCATCAAAGGGAAACTTCCATCTGTTGAAACTTAGGTTGAAGCTAGCAAAAATATCCAAACTGAAGGAGATTTGTATTGCTTCACTTGGAAGATCCCCAAAGTTTGAGACTATTGTGCTCTGTGTAGGAGGGATCTGTTGAATATAAAGGGAGTTTTATTTGCTGCTGCACCTTGTGGTGGTGCCACAAATGAAAAATATTTATTTCTAAGGAAGATTTTCTTCATCCGTCTTGTATCGTTTTCTCTTTTCTGATGACAGATGTATGGCCTCTTAAGTGTCTAAATGTCCTAAGCAGAATCTTTGTGTCATATATTCTTCTTTCTGTTCTAATTCTATTCTAATTTAGGTTTTATTTTAGACTTAGATCAGTGTTTCTCTATACCCGTCTTTTCACGAGGTGAGTTTTAACTTACACTCAACTTGTAACAAACTTTCGAACCCCAGAGCATGGTATCAGAGGTCTGTACCGTTTATCGTACATCGTGCTGTGTATTCAAGCTCGTAATGATCTGCTTTCTCTGTTACGGTTTTCAGCCCTGTTTTCATGAAAGATACTGGATGTGTCTTGAAAAACACCTGCTTGCTAGTATTTGGGTTTGGTCTCTGGTCTGGGCAGCAAAGACACCGAGGCACTGAAGTAGAGCGTATCACTTTTTGGCAGCTTAAGAGTTTGCAGACTGTTTCAAATCAGTG